ATTTTTTTCCCCCCACTCCGGGGGGGGGGGGGGGGGGGGGGGGGGGGTTCAGCCCCAGAATGCAACCGGGGAGCCCCCCAGCCAAGAACAGGTTCCCAGGGGTCCCGCCGTTTTTTAAATTTTGGGATCAAAAACGGGGGGGGGGGGCGGTATCGCACCAGCATGGCGATTTACGGCATCGAGTGACGTTGGTTTCGACCCGATTTTAGTCTCACCTGATCTTTACACGCGGGGCGTAGATGACATCGAGCGGAAGCTGCAACTCCATTTTGATGCGCTGATGCCAACAATCCACGGGTAGATATAGATGGACGGATGATGCCACACGCACGCAAGCCGAGCGTCGACAGAGCGGTAAAGTCAAGTATCAAGAAAACGAGAACTAGATAAGACGGGGGTGCGGGAAGGCGTGTAGTCGTCCATTGTTGGGGCGTTACCACTAAATACCTGACACATCGCCCGGTCGATTGCATAGTTGAGGGCGTGCCCGTCATAGAGACACAGAAAGAGAATCAGAGAGAGAGAGAACGACGGAAAGAGCATGGTGCCGTCAACCGTATAACAATATCGAACTCTGCCGACAAAAACCACTGTAGTGACATGTGCAAGCCGATTCTACTCGCAATCCGCAGGTCAATCTCAATCTCGACCGAGGAAAAGAATTAAAACCTTCACCTTCTCTATGTAGCACATAAAACATTCACACTCTCTGTGGAAAATGTGCCGCGTGAATCCCGGGAAAAAGAACCCGGTGACTAACTCACGCTTTTTTTTTTTTTTTTGTTCTTCACTTCGAATCAGTGCTCATGGGTAGGCTTGGCTGCGGTGTAAGGAAGTCGTCGATGCAAAAAACATGGTATTATACGAACATCTACCTTAGCATAGCTTTTCTACTGCGATTTCGTGCAAGCACCTCCATTTCGGTCGCAACGTGCGCTACACAAGTTGCCCATTCAGGCATATCACCTCCGATACCGGTACCAACAGCCAAGAGGCATCGTCTCCCGATACACGCACAGGCTTTGGTTCCCCGCCACCGCCGCCACGTCACTCAAAAACACGTGCGGGGTACGTGGCGGCGGGTGTTGTTTCTCAAGGACGGCGAGAACGGGGCGGTACACTGGAACAAACAAAACCTGCAACCTTCGTAAGGAGGAGGGGGGGGGGGGGGTTACCTGGAGGAAGTTGGCGTCGCGTCCCGTCGGCTTGTTGGAAGAGTCCGTCAGGACTGATCGCTTCGTCCCGTCCATGTCATCCACCTGCATGCGTGAGCCGCACACACCCGCGCGCGCCAGCGCCCCCCGGCCACAACGATTGGACAAAAGAAGGGTCGGAAGAAATACCATGGAGCACACCCAACACCCTGTTGGTCGTCCATGTACGTGCTGCAACGAAAGACGCGGGTGACAAGGACTCGATTCCCGGGAACACTCCATCTTGGGGGAAGCGAGAGCTCCATCCGCTACAGCACAAAAACAACGCGCTCCTCGACAACGCGCACACCTTACACATCTCCCGCCGGCCACACTATTTCGTCACCTTGAGAAAGCAACATAACACGAAAAAAAAAAAAAACGACACGTTACGTCACCTCGAAGACGCAATACGGGAGCTGCATCGGTAGGTACTTGTACGGCTGCATGTTGCGTATCCCCATGATGACCATGTCCAGGTGCGCCTGTTTTTCGTCGCGGGGGCGTTTATTGCGCGTTGGTTTTAGTCGTTCCAGATTCCACCAAGAAGCAGGCGGGCGAGAGGGGAGGGAGTACGACGAAATTTCCAAATCACCAATCAACGATTGTGCCGACAATCTAAATCGCCAACCGACGACTATGACCACAATCCAAACCACTGACCAACTATTTAGTAGCGATTAAACAAAAATGGGCAACA